TCTCTCTCTCTCTCTCTCTCTCTCTCTCTCTCTCTCTCTCTCTCTCTCTCTCACGCACACACACACACACACACACAAACACACACATACACATAAAAAGAGAGAGAGGGGAGGCATGCATGTGCACACACATGCACATTTAATAAAAATAATGTAAGAATGAGAGGTTGACCAGATGATTTAGTGAGTAACCCACCAAACTTGACAACCTGAGCTTGAACCCTGGAACCCACAGGATAGAAGGAGAGAATTGACTTCCAACAGTTGTGGTCTGTGCTGACCTCCCTGCTCATAGGATATCACATCCACATATGTGGGGACACACAGATACATGCTAATACCAAATGCAAATTCTTTGTCATAAAGAGCCTTTGAATCTGAGGACTAGGTTTCCTGCCCAGATTCCAGTGCTAGAAAGTTCCAGAATAATCCTCACAGAGCTCGCAGCTCCCTGCCAGAACTCCAGGTTGACAGTGAAGATTCTCTCAAATGTGAAAACCTTGAGGTGGGGCTGTGAGTTGGCTCAGTGGGTAAGAGAGTTCAGTTCTTGGGACCTACATGGTGGAAGACAAAGTCCAAAAGTTGTCCTCTGGCCTTCATCCACCAAATAAAATGTAATAAAAAGAAATCTAGTGAGGTGGTGGTGGTGCATACCTTTTTTAATTCCAGCAGTCAGGATGCAGAGGCAGGAGGATTTCTGACTTTGAGGCCACTTTGGTCTATAGGGTGAGTTCCAGGACAGCCAGGGCTACACAGAGAGAGACCCTGTCTTGAAAAACAAAAGAAAACAAAAACAAAAAACAAAACAGCAGCAACAAAAACCAACCAATCCAAAAACAAACTGACATAAAGAATTCAGAGGATGTCACCCTAATACGGTGACTCACAACCAAAATCCCACTGTCAAGAAGGGTAGTTGGAAATGTCTGGAGTGAGCCTCCATGTCATAAATACAAGAGCAGGGCTCCAGTGGTAGTTCAGGGGCTGACTTGCTAGCTGAACAAGCCTGGGGACCTGACTTTGAGTCCCAGCCTGTAAGTCCCGGGCTCAGGTCTGTGTTGTAAGGAGATAGTCAGTCTGGCCACGTTGTTATACTCCCGGTTTGCTGAGAGAACCTGTGTGTGAAAATAAAGTGGGCAGCAACAGTGGGAGAGACCCAATATCAGCCTGTGGCCCCCACACAAATCCACAGAAAACAACCAAAGAAAACAAAAACTTGCTCACTTATTATATAGCGGAGAATAACTCTGAATTCCCAGTTTCCCTGCCTATTTCCCAAGAGCTAGCCTTACAGATGTGAGCCACTACACAGGCCTGTTGGTTTGGATGTTAAGACAGGGTCTTGAAATGTAACCAAGACCAGCTAGAGGTTCATGATCTCCCTCCTTGAGCCTCCCAAATGCTAGAAGCAGAGGCCTGGGCCACCCCCAATATACTTAGGTCTGTTTTATACTCCTGCCCCCACTCCGTGTGTGTGTGTGTGTGTGTGTGTGTGTGTGTGTGTGTGTGTGTGTGTGTGTGTGAAAGAGGGGGGGCATCTTGGAGTCATTTTTTCCTTCTACCAGTGAGGGTCTGGCAGATTGAACTTAAGTCACCAGACTTGGTGGCAAGTGCTGTCACCAACTGAGTTGTCTCCCATCCTAGTTCCTGTTTTAAAAGTACATATCAGGCCGGGCGGTGGTGGCGCACGCCTTTAATCCCAGCACTCGGGAGGCAGAGGCAGGCGGATTTCTGAGTTCGAGGCCAGCCTGGTCTACAGAGTGAGTTCCAGGACAGCCCGGGCTATACAGAGAAACCCTGTCTCAAAAAACAAAAAAAAAAAAAAAAAAAAAAAAACAAAAAACAAAAAAAAAAGTACATATCAGACACACAATGGAAGACTCCCTCACTGTGGCCTTTGTGCAGGTGGATGGCTTCACTCATCTCTATACCCTGATCTTAAGGCCAGATCTTTCTTACGAGGTAAAAGTTGATGGCCAGTCTATTGAGTCTGGCAGCATTGAGTATGACTGGAACCTGACATCGCTGAAGAAGATGGAAAAGACATCACTGGAGTCTAGGGACTGGGATCAGGTGGAAGGCAGCAAAGCCCAGGTAGGTGAGCGCAGTCTGAGGTATGTGTTGAGAGAGACCTTCCCCTGGCCTGCTTGCACTTTAGCTCCTGCCCACCCAGCCCTGCCCACTCAGACCTCACACCCAAAACCTAAAGACACATTTCAAGGTATTGCAAAAACAATTTGCTGTTTTTCTTTTCCGAGACATGGTTTATCTGTGTGTCCCTGCCTGTCCTGGAACTCTCTTTGTAGACCAGACTGACCTCACTCAGAGATCCTCCTGCCTCTGCTTCCGAGTGCTGGGACTAAAGACGTGGCCCACCACCACCTGGCTGTAAAAACAAGTTTAACGGAATGTTCCTTTGGTTTTGACACAGGGTTTTACTTAGCCCTGAAGGATCTGGGACTCATTCTGTAGACCAGGCTGGCCTCGAATCATAGAAATCTGCTTGTCCCTGCCTCAGAGGTGCTGGGATTAAAGGTGTGTGTCACACCTGACCATTGCAGGTTTTTTTTTTTATTTTAATTGGATTTTATTTTATTTATTCACTTTACTTCCTGATTGCTGCCCCTACTCCTGGTTACCCCCTTACCCTCACCCCATCACCCCCCCCATCCTACACTGCAGGGTTTTGATAGTTACAAAGATGTTGGGTCAGATGCAGGGATAGATCACAGCGACTAAAATCAAGATAACTTGCCTCTGGCCTGCAGCTTTCTCACTTTCCATAATTTTGAGGTTTAGTCACTTGTCTTTTGATTCAGCTTCTCTCTCTTCATTCCATGCCCCTACCCTAAGATTAGCTGAGGGGAGAAAAACTTACCATGGCCATAACAAAAAACCCAAAGACAAACAAAAGCCAGGAAGTATGCACTTGGTACTTGGTGGAATGGTAATCCTACAGCCTGGTGTCTTAATTAAGGTTACTGTTGTTGTGAGGAAACTCCATGAGCAAAGCAACTTGGGAAAGAAAGGGTCTATCTGACTTACACTCCCACATCACTGTTCATCACTGAAGGAGGTCAGGACAGGAACTCACACAGGGCAGGAACCTGGAGGCAGGAGCTCTGATGCAGAGGCCATGAAGGAGTCCTGCTTATTGGCTTGCACCCCATGGCTTGTTCAGTCTACTTTCTTATAGAACCCAGGACCACCAGCCCAGGGATGGCTCCCCCATCAATCACTAATTAAGAAAATGTCCTATAAGCCTGCCTACAACCTGATCTTACAGAGATATTTTCTTAATTGAGGCTCCCTCCTTTCAGATAACTCTAGGTTAGGTCCAGCTGTCATAAACTATCCAGCATACTTGGAGACAACTCCACTAGGGAAGGGCATTGTGACAGGAGTTAGGGACTGCTCTGCTAATCTATTTCTAAGTATCTTCTGTCTAGGTGTCAGTGTCTGCCATCTTCTGTAGGTCACTGGGCTCTGTCCCCAGCCCCACTGAGCATGTGTGCTCCCTAGGTTTCTCCCACAACCTACACTAAAGAATTTCCAAGGAGTGGCAAGATGGTTCAACAAGACAAGGTGCTTGTGGCCAAGTAATGAAGACCCAAGTTTGATTTCTGGAACTTACATGATGAAGGGGAATAACTGACTCCAGCAGGTTGTCTTCTGACCTCCACACATACACACATGCATCATCGGTGTAATAAAAATATTTTACAGCCGGGCGGTGGTGGCGCACGCCTTTAATCCCAGCACTTGGGAGGCAGAGGCAGGCAGATTTCTGAGTTCGAGAGTTCGAGGCTTGCCTGGTCTACGGAGTGAGTTCCAGGACAGCCCGGGCTATAAAGAAAACCCTGTCTTGAAAAAACAAAAAAATATATATTTTACAAACACTTCCTTTTCCCCAGTATGCCTCTGGAATCATGCTTTCCTTTCTGTCTTTGAAGGATTGGGAAAAGCACTTTCTGGATGCAGGTGCCAGCAAGCCAAGCGACTGGAACAGTGAGCTGGATGGGGACTGGCTCCAGAAGCCACCATACGAGGTGTGTGGCTTCTTCCTGTAGGGACCCTGGGTCCTTGGGTTGCCCCTTACTCCTGTCCCATTTGTGCTGTTAGAAAAGGTATTCTCGGTGACACCCGAAAAGAACACACTAAGAGTGACCTGGCAAGGCAACTTCTCATGACCCAAACCTGCTTGCAAACACATGGGTGGGAAATTCATTTAGTTTTTAGTCTAGTGCAGTTGGTAACTGTCTTAAGGAGTCTGATCACACTGACATGTGAGGTTTGCTGCGTTTGAAGGAATTGATGCATAGGAAGTGAAGGAAAGGGGAGGGATAGGGCTGCTGCAGTCTATCAGGTTCTAGGAACGGGGGCGGGATGCTTTTCATTAAAAAAAAAAAAAAGCAAGCAGAGGCATATGGATCTCTGAGTTTGAGGCCAGCTTGGTCTACAGAGTGAATTCCAGGACAGGCAAAGAAACCCTGTCTCAAAACACACACACACACACACACACACACACACACAAGATTTGCATGGAATTCTTACCAACTGGGAAGAATGAAAAGACTTGAGTTCCTTTGCATAAAATTTTGAGTTGCAGGGAAATTTATGGAATACTGGTCCTTGGTGGGCTAGCCACTTTTCATAGGAAACAAAAAAGGAAAAACCAACCAACCATTCCTCATCCTGTGATCCAAGCCTGGCTAGAATCTGCTTTTGTAGGATGGCCTGAAAGCTGAGGGCATCGACAAGGACGTGTGGCTCCACCAGAAGATGAGACCTGCTGGCTACCTGACGCAGTATGACCTCTCAGAATTTGAGAACATTGGCGCCATTGGTCTGGAGCTGTGGCAGGTGACCTGGCTCCGAGCTTCCTTCCTTCCTTCCTTCCTTCCTTCCTTCCTTCCTTCCTTCCTT